TGTGGATGAGCAGAGAACCCTTCTTCTTTTCTCTTGATATTGTGGATCTTACTGTCAAAACTTGATCAGTGTAAAGAGGAAAATTACCATATTTTTCATTGTAACAGCATAATAAAACCAACAATCTTTATCTCTGGGTTCTCCAAGGGCATGTCATAGTTTCTACTGTTTCCGCTGTTTCTGTGTTTGTAGTTTTTATGGTTTCCACAGTTTCTATGGGTCTTAGAGCTTCCCTTGTTTCACAGTTTCTGTACTTCCATAGTTTCTATAGTCTCTATAGTTCCCATAGTCCCTACCAGCATAGTAGTGTATATTAGCTGCACTGTGGTGCTAAGGGTCCCTGGTTCGAATTCAGGTTCGGGCATGGATATTTGTAAATGTAGAGTGGGTTGGGTTGGTAGAGCAGCCTTGGCTGAAACCCCGCCCACTCAAAAATAAAGGCAAAAATAAATAAACAAATATCTCTATCTACAGTTCTCAGTTCTACTGTTTTTACAGTGTCTATAGTTGTTCTTATTTGGTAGTTTCTGAATACAGCACTATGGTTGTAGTACCTACCATAGTCGTTTCATATTTGAATAGTATCATAGTAATAGATGGCTAGTTCCATAGTTATTTGCAACATGGAGAGATTCTTCATAAACTTAGGGACTGAAGCCGCACAGATGTGGAATAGCTTTGTCAGGGTAGTCCCAACTGTCAACAATAAAAACAAAAATTATTTAATGAATAATGACGATCAAGGACTACTGGGATGTTCTAAACTAGTAAAATTTAAGTTATATAAGAGCAATTAAAGGTAGCCCACTCAAGTGATTGGTATACAGAGTGTTGTAAATATGATGTAAATACGGAAGTAGCTAATTCGTTGACTTTTGTCTGACTAAAACTTAATATAAACATAAATCTGTAAACGCTTCATTACTGATCTACAGGGTGTCAAGATTTTTTAAGTTTTCTCTTTCTATCTTCTTCAGTTGTTGAGATATTTTACTCAAATTTGTAATATAAGTTACGCTGAGTCATGTCAATGGTAGTGAGAATTCTCTACCCTTGAACTTTTTTTTGGTGCGCCAGGGGTGGATTGTAAAATAAGAATTTGATTTTCTGATTTACGGTTATCAATAAAACAATAAAAATCAATTTTCAGTCGTTAGCTAAATGAAAGTATAATTTTCAAAATGGTCCAGTAGGCCCTGACTTTATTTAATCTCTTGTTTTTATTAGTTTTGACAGTTGGAATTTGAAATTGTTTATAAATTAAAGGTTTGAATTGTCAAATGTACAGTTAAAGTATAACATCCTGTAAATGTAGATAGGTAACAAAGCGTTTGTGGACCTGTGTCAACTTTTAGTCGTAAAATAAGCAAAAGAATTAGCCTATCATATTTGGGAACACTCTGTATATGTACCAATAGGATGTGTTAGCATTAATGTAACCAATAACAGCCAAAAGTCTTTATGTGGCTATTTCTTTTTTTTTACACTAACCCCAAGATGCTGTTCGAATCATATTAACACCCCTGTTACAGGTACAACAGATTATGTAGCTCCAGAAGTATTAAGTTACGAACCAATCACATTAGCAACCGATATATGGTCAATAGGAGTGTTAGCCTACGTTCTACTTACCGGATATTCACCGTTTGGTGCTTCGGACAAACAGCAAACCTTCCTAAACATCTCAAAATGTGCCTTATCCTTCGATGCGGACCTTTTTGAAGACATTTCCAGTACCGCAATTGACTTTATAACCACAGCTTTGGTCGTAGACCCCAGGTACGTACGTCTCACGACAATCAGTCTCGAGTTACTCACGGCGGTTCATTTCAGAAAGCGACCCACAGTAGAACAATTGCTAGATCATCCCTGGATTTCTTTCAAATCGATTATATTCCCGCAAATCACCAAAAAGACACCCGAAATCCTTAGTGTAACGCCGAAATCTACGCCTTTAAGTCAACGTAAAACGCTTCCCTGTGTTACTTCGGACACTCCGAAATCGCAGCGTAAAACCTACAGCACGGACAATCTAAACGGCGCGTACACAGAGACGCCGACCCGTACGTACAATGTATCGACAAACTGTTTGTGTCCACAATGCGGGACGACCTGCAGACATTTGCCTCACGCGCCTGTGTCAAAAACGCCTATCACTGTGGATCGTGGCATTCTATGCTAGCATCTAACGACAAACTGGTGTTGCATTTCGTAACAGCTTTGGGGCAGACTTTGTGAATTGTGATCGTTAAAGTCTACTGTGTTTTACTTTTTCGGTATTAGGGAAAATTTAGATGGAAACGGCTGAGACAAGTGTAACATATCTCACTTGCGCGTTATGCAGGCGCAAGTGTGTAAATTTAAGAATTTTTTTTTAGTTTGAAAGACCAGTGATTGAACGAGAAAATACCACACTTGTGTTGATTGTCTGTGTTTCGTCTTAACTTATCTTTAGAATGGAAATCCTTAAGTGACCTAAAAAGTGCCTAAATTAAAACACTACTCGATTCTTTGTATATTATGCCTCTCTCAGGTTTGTAAGATACTTGTCGTGGTTCATTTAAAAGTAATAGATATTTAATGGCCTGTTAAAAATTTCTGTTTTCATTACATTTAGAACTTCTTATGTATAAATAGTGTTCAAACGAAATTAAATAAAATATTTTCCATAAAGTAGCTTGTATGTTGCATTTTGTTTTGCTTTGCCAACAGTGCTGTCCACATCATCATCATCGACACCTTGTGCATGATTTTCAACTAATGGGTGACAAAGGTTTTCTTGAAACACATTTGCGAATGCATGCAGATAATAACAAAATAGGTATGTGAGTGATTACTGCCTCCCATGGAGCTGTTGACAACTGCAATCATTTGACAAAGGTCTGAACAGTTCATATAAATGTATGGGCAGAATGAACATACCTGGTAGGGCAGAATCCCATTTCTGTTGATATGAGAGGGAGTGCGAGACTTTCCCCAACAGGACTCTCTGCCATGTTTCTGGAGTTTCGCAGAGCCTGGGTTACCTTTTACAAACTCGTTTGCTTTTAGTTTGTCATTCAGTTGCGTGGGTTTTAAAAACAAGAAGGGGGCACTTTTATGGAAGCGGTTTAATATGGTAAATTGCTGCAAGTTTGAATTCGTTGTTTGCATGTCATGTCGATGTCGTCCTTGTATCATGTTCAAATTCTGGATATTTTTTCAAAATTGGAAAAGGCATAGCAAAATCCCTTAGTCCCATCTTTATGTGTGAGTGTGTGTGTCTTGATTGTTTAAAAACAAATACAAAGAAGCCCATGTTAATTTTGTAACTATTAAGGGTGGAGTAGTTCTCAAAAGAAAAATATTGTACTGAGTATCTTCTTTGTTTTTGTCTCGTTTACCACCCACGTACGATGGCGGCTAAGTTTTAACAACACTTTTTATTTGCAGATATCAACCTGAGTTTATCTGAAGCGATGTGACATTAATCAGTCATTTCCAAAGTATGTTTCTACATTGGAAGAACCTGATGAGACTGTAAAAGGAAACCAAAAATCAAGTATTTGATACACATGTTTTTTAAGTTATCTAATAAACACAATTTTTTGCTTAAAAAGATAAGCTGCAGATTACTATCACTTACTTTACAATACAACCGAACATTCATGTCCACATTACAAGATGCAATTAATTGAATAATTATTGTCTACTGGTAATAAATCTAGTAATTCACTCTATTAGTGAAAATTTATATGAACTAAATCTTTGGTAACTTGATCATGTTCTCTACCTTGAATACCTCATCAGTGTTAAAAGTCTTCATTATTTGGAAAAAAGGGAAAAATTTATTTCTACTAATGCGAGCTTCATTCTACAATTTATTATGAAATTACAGCTTTTATCCAACTTCCTACAGGAACCTACTTCTTGAACTTGAACGAAAAGCTATTCTCAAAATGTTATTGCAAAACTTCTTAAAAATGATCTTGGACTCTAAAATATTCAAGTAACAATAGATTTGTTCTGTTAGTAATGTTGGGGTAAGAGAATCCAAAGAAACCTCTTTAAAAACTTTCCTGCAGAGCTGGGCAGAATACTTTTAAAAAGTATTTGAATACTAAATAGTAAATACTTTACACAAATCAAAGGTATTTGAATACTAATTTTGATTGAGAAGTCTAATCGAAAAAGTACGAATTGTTTTGGATTCTACGCACCAAAATTAATAAGAAAAAGTGTTTTCCCGAGAAATTTTGGTGTAGTCGATTTTTGGTAAAAAAAGGAAGGTTATACACTGCCTTTTTTTGAGGCCCGAAGAAAAAATTGTCTCAGATCGACCCGGAAAAAAAAATTCTTTTAGAATGTGGCCTGTAGAATCCATAATTTCAAACAGTTCCAAGATTGGGCTACTAGTTCAACAGTTGCAGCCCTTTGAATATTCTTTCGAAATTGCTTTCTAGTCCGGAGATTCTTTTAAAAGTCTTAAAAACCCCAACTGTATCCTGTTTAAAAATCTTATAGGACATCCGTAGGAGTAATTCCTAGCATTTTTATCAGAAACGTTTTCGCAAAGAATGGTTTCTCTTAGCATTCGTGAAAGCTTTTCCACCTATCCCCTTTTACCTTCTTTTTCATCTTAGTAAATTTTGTAATATTTTAATATTTCTTTAGGTGCCCCCTGAGACATAAATATAAATATGAAAAAGTTTGAAATGTAGTCGCTATGTAATTCATAAATAGTTTCTTCAAAACAAAATGTTGAAGGATCAATACTAATTGTTTTACTGCAAATGCATTCAGTTAGATTATATTAAAATACTCAACTGTAAACATTAACTATAACAATATTTGATTTGATGAGAATATCATTGTCTTGGACTGGAAACAAAACCCAAACCCCAAAATACATTACGTGTATGATAAGTTGCCTATCTGCAACAGAATACGCTATTATAGTCATTATTCGAAATAGACCATGGACGTATCGAGAATTGGGTACAATGAGAATATTTAATAAGCGCGTGCGTGTACATTTGACAGCTGACAAAACATCAATATGGCTTAATTACGTTTCACGTAAAGCGAATTTTATTAATCCGCTGTTGTAAACCACATTAGGGCTAAAAACAAAGCAAAAGTGTTACAATCAAAAGATTAAGTGACTATCTACACACGGTGAGTAATTAAGAATTTTTCCATCCATCGTATTGACCTAATCCACTTCTCCACCTAATCCAATCAATACAGCCAAGGAGCTGCCCTTAATTGTTGCAAGTATTTTCTCCGCAGGTTAGACATGTATAACGGAATCGGACTAACGACACCCAGAGGTTCCGGTACCAATGGGCACGTACAGAGAAATTGGGCTTTCGTGCGGCCGAAGGAAAAAGACAAAACCTACCGTACCGAAGAGGAACTGTGCAAGCTGGACACGGCGTCGAATCGACCGCCGAACAAGGAGATTTTGGATCACGAGCGTAAAAGGAAAATTGAACTGAAGTGCGCAGAGTTTAGCGAAATTCTCGAGGATCAAGGGTGTGTGTTCTAAGTAAAACCACTATTTAACTTTCTTATTACTATAGCTAGGAAAGATTGCCGGTTACAGCACACCTTATGTCGATCTACAATCTATGTTTTTCTTAAGATGCGAACGACTTCTGGAATAGGATCGTGCCAATGTTGATCGAAAAGTCTTTGTGTTGGCCATTGACATGATAGTATCCCGGAGCATCTTAAAAAAAACATGGGATCAGGTGTTCTGTGACCGGCAATCTTTCCTCGCGAGAGGTTTACCATACAAGTTATGAAGCAGGATTAAATTAACCTTCAGGGTTACAATACTGAAATCGAAACACCATTGAGGATCAGGCTTTTCTGATATTAAACAATTTTTTTAAACGGAACACTTTAATAATTGAAACACACTGTATAGATTTGTTACTTACGAATTTGCTTGTTGTAGATTTTCCGAAGAGGCTGTTAGGAATAAGGTCAATAACTATCGTGTTATGCTAATGGGACATGATGGGAAATTGGATCGACCCATTGGACACTGGGCGAGAGTAAGGTATGTATAATTTTGACATAATACAATCGATACTAATAAATGAGACTTACTGTTATCGAAATATAATTTATATGTATTTTTACCATCCCCACATTGGTAAAAAAAATAGGTATTGCATTGTCTTGCTGCCACCAACACTTTTTTTTTGGAATATTTCATTATCACATCGTGTATGCTAATCATATGCTTTTTACTAGTTTTTTTTTTGGCGGGGGAGATTATGAATAATTTTGTCGGTTTTTGTTGAGATTTGCAACATATTTTTCACAAATGTAAATTTTTGCTAGTAATCTCAAGACCTCGTCTCGAGATTAAATTTTTTTTGACATGTTGAATAGTCAGTTTTGCATAATATATGTTTTGGTTTTTTCTTTTGTTCTTGAATTTTGTTTTTTTTTCAGTTTTTTTTACAGAATTCTGCTTAATACTTATTTTAGGCAAAAAAAAATGAAGAATTCCGTTATTTGTGAACACCCCCCCCCCCCCCCGTCTATTTCTCAAACCAGTGTTTACTGAAATGTGGTAGGGATACTACATTTTTTTGTAGTTTCCTGTAGTAGTGGATAGTGTACAGGGTGTTTTGCATAGTATGTTTTTTCTTTGGTTCTTGAATTTTGTATTTTTTTCAGCTTTTTTTTTACAGAATTTTTACATAATTCTGCTTGATACTTATTTTAGGCAAAAAAAATGAAGAATTCCGTTCATTGAAGTGGGTATATTTCAATTGTTTATGATAACATTTTTAGGGCATTACCCCAAATCGGAAAAGTAGGTTATTTGTGGCCCCCCCCCCGTTTATTTCTCAAACCAGTTTTTACTGAAATGTGGTAGGGATACTACATTATTTTGTAGTTCCCTATAGCAGTGGATAGTGTACAGGGTGTCCCACATTAAAGGGCGACCACTTGGATGACGGACACTGTAAGTTGGTTCATTGCAGGCAAAGTTGTGCATTTTGGGACCAAATGTAACATTGGTTTCGGGAAAATTTGGAGCTGTCGTCAACTTTACTTTTTAAATATGAACTTGCATTTTATAATTATAGGAAAATTTTATAATATGTATAGAAAAAAATATAAAAACATAATCTTAATACATGCTACTCAATACAGTGTGTACTTTTTTATGGGCAATATAAAAAATAAAATTGATGATGAAATCTCCAAACGAAACATTGTATTGAATACCCCCTAGCATTGAATAAGCATCTTAAAGAAGTATAACGCCCGTGTTAACTGATGAAATAAGAAAATTTGTCCAGGATTCTGTCGTCCCCCTATTGTGGGAGAAAGTGAACCACAAATTTAAAGCTAGTTACCGACTTTGCAGATTTCTTTACTTTTTTAAAATTCCAACGTTGCCAGATTTTTGCCAAGCGCTTTGAGTTTGAATAAATTAGATTAAAATATTGAATAAGCTTTTATTCAATGCCAATAACAATATTATGTAAGGGAGGATCAATCTGAAATGTAAGATCATAAGGAACAATAAATAAAGTAAAAAATGTAGTTTTGATCTAATAAGAAAACAACAAGAACTGTTCTAAGGACCATTATCTTTTCATAATAAACAATCAAACTTTACCTAGCTCCATATAAGGATCTGGTAATTTTAGGCACATTAATGATCTCAGTAATTAATTTCAGATTAATGTAAGAATGCAGACTTTCGTTATAAGTTATTACTAATTATGTAGGGTGGTACCATTGAATTCAATGGTCCAGACTATATAACATTTTTGACAAAAAAATTAGTTACCGGTTCAAACCGGGTTTTTCATGGAGGTGAAATGATTAGAAATTAGGGGAAAATAATTAAAACAGCTGAATTTTTCCGCGGATGAAATTCCATGGGTTAAAAGGGGTGGAAAGTGGTGTTTTGCAATTTGTGGCAAAGCTACTAATTTTAGGCTAAAATGTTCAATATAAAAGTTATAGAGAATAAAAAATCAACGACTTTTGTATCTGCACTATTTTCACATACCGTCCAATTTTCCTAAAAAAAAACTGGAAAAGCTGATTTTTTTGGCTTTTATTCTTATTTTTGCGAAAAAAGTCATAGGGGTATGAAATTTGGAGAAAACATAGCTTGTTTTAAAAAGGAGACAATTTTGGGCCCGTAAAGTTGAATAGTTTCCGAGATCTCACGATTTCTGAAAAAAACCACCTCTTTTTCAAGGGGATGAAAAATCTATAATTACATTCGCTTCAATAAAACGACTAGGTACCGAAATACTCGGTGCAAAGACATAAAATAAAATAAAGCTACTTTTCTATATAACAAAGAAAAATATGACAACACTGTTCAACTCTGATAAACAAGGAAAAGAAAGGACTTCTAAGTATAACTGGTTTCCCTGTTTAAAATAGTCATTATTTACCGCCAGAGGCCAATATTTGTGGTAATTAACCACTTTGCAGTGTATGCAACACACCTTACACCAATTTCGGGTTTTCCTATGTAGTTCTACTTCTTTAAGGTGCTTATTCAATGCCCCTAGTATATGAGGTGTATAATTATTAAGGATCCTCAGATCCTTTATAGTTTTGTATTGTCGTCCGTCCGTCCGTCCGTGTGCGCTCTAACTCTTTTTAAAAGTGGCCGATTGAGTTGAAATTTAGTGTACGGGTTCTTTGGACATTAAGGACGGACGCTATTGATTTTCAGGAAGCTGGTTCAATAGGAACAAAAGTTATAGGACTTCGAGTGAATCGGGAACAGGAAAAACTACGGGCTCAATATATAATAGAAATCAACATATTTCATTCCCTAGGTCATGTATCGGGTTGGGACTTCCGCTAGATTATTCCCTATGACTCTTAGATGTGTAATACTTTAATATAACTCTTCTCTGTGGTATAGGTAGAAAGTTTTAGAGCAAAATGTAGCAAAAATTACACTTTATACATGAATTTAGAGTTTTAAAAGGTTTCAAACGCATTATCTTGATGCAGCAAGAGTACATCACGTGCACATTTGATAACCGCATGTGTGTGATTCAAAAATGTTAAATTATTGCCATATGGGTTTTAATGGGGGGGGGGGCGATAATGGTGATTGTAGGGAAATAATCATCGAGTTTTCCTTTACTGGAGGGTATTCCATACCTCCCAGACCACCTGGTGTTACATTCTCCCCCAAATCCGTCTGCCTTACCCCTCATTACATTTTTTGGAAATACTTCAATGGAACGTCGCACCGGAGGATCTGGAGGGTATTGAAACCCCTCAAACCCCACAAATGGTGGTAATCTTGATGGTAGGGAAATGGTCATTGAGTTTTTCTTCACTGCAGGGCATTCTATACCCAGCATATCCCCTGGTCTTGCATTCTTCCCCACATTCATCTGCCTAACAATGCTCATTACAGTTTTCAGTAATGCTTCTACGAAACATAGCACCGGGGGTGTGGGGGATATTCCAATATCAAAAGGTATATGATGTGTATTTTTGTCTATGTCCATTGAATTTATCCGAATTTTGATTTGAAACTTTTTTGGATAGCTCTTTTTGTTACTAAAATATTTGAACTTTTTAAAAATGGCGATTTTCACTTTTTTTCAATTATCTACAAAACGATTTATTTTTTCAAAATATCGCATTGTAAAATCTATCAGCATCAAAAACTGCACAACTTTGCCAATTTAACCGAATCTGTAAGTATAATAATAACAAAGGTAACGTTTGTAACCTTCCCACCCCCTTCCCTTATGCTCAAATAGTCAGATTATTGTAATGCACACTTTTGAACATGTAGTGAACCCACCATATTTAATCTAACGCGCTCGAGTATTTCTAACGATCGATTTTTTTTTACTATTCTGATGGGCTGCCCTAGATCCACGATCCTATATTCAGGACTTATATATGTGGTGGAGGTCCTCAGCAGGTAGAAAGTTATCCCTCTTTTAGGGATGGACACGAACTCGAGCTAAACTCGGCTCGGCTCATAACGAGCCGAGCTGAACTTATTACATTCGAGCCGAGCATCGAGCCCACCTGTGTCTTTTTCGAGACGAGTCGAGTTGCTCGTTTGAAGCTCGACGAGCAACTCGACTGAATTTATTTATAATGGATATATTAATTTTGCTGTGTGTCAATTTGATAGGTTTACCGTATAAAATGTGATATCATCTACACTTATGTTTTTTAAATGGTGCGATGCAGACTCGGCGGCTGATAGTATTCTAGCAGCTTCATTCTTTGCTCAATGCTTCATTCAGTATTGGAAATGTTATTTATACAGGGTGGCCATTTGAAAACGAAACAGAGCCTATTTTGGGGACCTCAAAACATCTACGGAAAAATACTCGGACCCGTTAATTTTTTATTCAAGGGGGAACAATTTTTTTGCTAGTTTCGCCCCCTTGAGGTGACAAGCGCCCCCGGTACAGGGGCTAATAGAAGTTACAAAAATGTGTCAACATTTTCTTATGAAAAAATATTCTTGTAAATGAGTTAGTTAAATAACAAATATAAAAACAACAGTAAATACAAAAAATGTTGTTCTCCTACATTCTGAGCCGTACTTTTTGTTGTTTTTTTTCTTTTTAATACCTGTAAGTACATATGCCTTTTCTGCAATGCAAATCTTGGTTATTGTTGAGAGCATTACTATAGCATCTGATCAATTATTGTTGTCAGAACGAGAGAGGGATAATAAATAAATAAATTAATAATGGTTTATTCACTTGCTGAAATAATTTATCTTTTTTTGCAAACAATGAAAATGCTAATAGAACTGCCCAGCTCTTTAATCGACAACACCAGAATCGATAGGTCCATCGTATGTTTGGGCTGCCATTTTTGGTAACCGTATCGTAGACCCCTTCTTTTTACCTGGAACTTTAACAGGAGAGATGTACCTGGAGTTATTAGAAAAGACGATTCGTCCAGCACTAGTGGAGATACTAGAAAATACCAACGACTACTTGGAAATAGTCTAGTATTTCAGCAAGATGGTGTGCCACCCCACTATGCTGCAAGGGTTCGTCAATATTTGGACCAAACGTTTCCAGGACAATGGATTGGAAGAAAAGGTGCTATTGAATGGCCTCCTCGTTCCCCGGACTTAAGTGCGTTAGATTTTTAGCGCATTTCCACAAAAATAAAAAAAAATGCGCTATTGTGGCCACTGTCCATCCGTCCGTCCGTCCGCTCGTTTTGCGACGCTACTAGTTCTTTATCTTAAGAGTTATTGTTCTACTTTTTTCGCTATTTGGTTCGTTATGGTGTCGAGTCTTGTACCAAGGAAGGACCGTTACCGCTTACAAAAAAAGTTATTGTAAAAAAAACAAAAAACCGTTTTTTACTTACATGTTCCATAATTTTACACTTTTGCCGTTTATTAACGATCCTAGAGATCGTTTATAATTTTGCATTGCTATCTGTCGTCTGCGTGTTGGTCTGTCCGTCTGTTCTTTTGTCTGCCTGTCCATCTATCTGTCCGTGTGAACGATAACTTTGTTTAGAAATGTTCGATCGCTTTTACATCTCCGTTAGTTATGAACTGAATTGCATGAAATTCAATATGGGCATTGCTTTAGCCATATAATACGCAATGCCAAAAGTTGAATCGAATCGATTCAAAATTCACAGTGCCCTTTTCGCATCTCGACCATTTGTAAACCGAATTGCAAACTTTTTTACTTATAAAAGTATTTGAATGAAATTTGATACATAGGCACTTGGAATAAAGGAAAATCAACCGCCAATTTCAAAATTTGGTTTTGCGCATGCGCAGTGCCAACTTTCTTATTTATGGGGGGATTTAAATGAAATTTGATACTTAGGCACATGGAATAAAGGAAAATCAAACACCAGTTTCAAAATTTGGTTTTGCGCATGCGCAGTGCCAACTTTTTTATTTATGGAAGAATTTAAACGAAATTTGATGCATAGGCACTTGGGATAAAGGAAAATCAAACGCCAATTTCAAAATTTGGTTTTGCGCATGCGCAGTGCCAACTGTTTTATTTATGGAAGAATTTAAATGAAATTTGATACATAGGCACATGGAATAAAGGAAAATCAAACGCCAGTTTCGTAATTTGGTTTTGCGCATGCGCAGTGCCAACTTTTTTTATTTATGGAAGAATTTAAACGAAATTTGATACATAGGCACTTGGAATAAAGGAAAATCAAACGCCAGTTTCAAAATTTTATTTTGCGCATGCGCAGTGCCAACTTTTTTATCTATGGAAGCATTTAAGTGAAATTTGATACTTAATAGAAGTTGCATCTTACAAATGGGAAATGAATGCAAGTGGAAATGCACTTTATGTAAATCGTTTACGATTACTTTTTAACTTGTTCTTATGGGGCCATTTAAAAACTAAAATTTATGCTAGTCAGCTTACATCGTTAGACAACTTGCGACAAAAAATAATTGACGAATGTCGTCAAATCACCCCATAAGTTTTTCAGAATGTACGGAAAATGTTTGAAGAAAACCTGTATTATTCTATGGAAGTCAAAGGCCAACATTTTCAACATTTACTTGATTTAAAACTTAAGGGTTATAATCCACATAAAAATACCTTCGAAATAAGGTATCACTCGACCCCCATTCGATTTAAAATTTTGGGGGCGCTTGCCACCCCCGCTATGGCTTTGGCATCAGGGGGGCGAAGCTAGCAAAAAAATGGTTCCCCCTTGAATCAAAAATTGACGGGTCCGAGGATTTTTTCGTAAATGTTTTGAGATTCCCAAAATAGGCTCTGTTTCGTTTTCAAATGGCCACCCTGTATAAATATAATATACATTCGTTAATGCTTACAGATTTAATTTTTAATTTAATTTATTATCCCTCTCTTGTTCTGGGCCCTCAACAGGCTTGCGCCCAATTACAGAGTGACCCGGATAGATGAAACTGTAGCGAGATTTTATTAAGATTTTATTTCTTGGAACACCCTTAAGGCTGGTAAGGTTACGTCCGTAACCAAATACAACCGTTGTATTGCATATCGCCCCTTTATTGCAACTGTAGGTAACTTGTAGACGTGTTTCTTTATTCTGTTTGTCACATTTTCGACGCATGGTCTTTCCTTTTCAGAAAGATATAGCAAAATTGTTTTTTGATACAGTAAAAGAATATGGAATTGATTAAAAAATTCAGGGAATAACTGTTGATAACGTGGCAGCGAATACTACTTTTGTGAGTGAGCTAAAAAATCTACTTCCCAGCTTTGACAGCATAAATCAGCACTTTCGATGCATGGCCCACGTTCTTAACCTTGCTGTCCAGGATATCCTTCGCTCACTTAGTTTTAATGTTGATGAAGGAGACGAACAAATTGGAAGTGACGCCGACTTAGTTTTTTAACTTTCAAATGTAAATCCTAATGTTTGGAATTCGAGCTTAGCTCGGCTCGGCTCGAAACTCGGCTCGAAAACGAGCCGGGTTTCTAGTCAAGCTGAAGTAATTTTTTTCGAGCCGAGTTTCGGGCCGAGGTGGGCACCCATAATTTCGAGCCGAGTCGAGTTTTCAAAAAGCTCGGCTCGGCTCGGCTCGAACCCATCCCTACACCCTTTCTCTGCCGCACTTGAGTAAACCCCAAAATCCTCTATTGGGTTCCCCTACTATTAGTAAAACGCTAATAATTTTTTTTTTGTAAAATTTTGAAAACAGATGTCTATTTTTTTTAGTATATTTTTTTGGTTTTAAAAAGTTAGAATTTGCTTTAGTAAAGTAAATTGCTATTTTTTGGAAATTCTTAAATTATTTGTCGATTTTTTTAAACATTTTGTAAGCTTGTGATCATTTTCATTTGTAATTTTTGGATAATTAGCCATTTATCCCTGGATGTGGTCGCGATTTTGTGAGTAAGGGATTCTGTACAAAATTTAAGTTTCCGTTTTATCTGCCAGCAACATCTATGAATTTGAGTTTGAATTTAGTAAATTTCCAATTAAATTGAACATTCAGAAACGTATCCTGATATTTTTTGGTTTTACCCGCCCGCAATTTAGAGGTTTGTTTTTCAAATGTTTACTTTACTTAAAATTAAAAACATAAATTGTGGATCATTTCTGCAGCCCACTTTTTAAATAGGGGTGTTATTTCTTAATTGGGATCTCGAGAGGCAACATTTGCTTCAACATCGGTGCCCTAATTAAAAAAAGTACGCGAAGCAGAACGCGCTTTTCAAGTTGAAAGGAAGGAGAAATTGGAAAACAATGGAGCGTCGGTGGCGGTATTGATTTAGCAATTCCGGCTGTTCAGTCAAACTGTGCTTCCTCCTTGATATGGATGCTGCGCGTCGGATAATTTCCGCGTCCACCCCTTCAGTTTGCGTTTCGCTGCTAAGGGCCGGGCCGATGATGTGCGGCTTTCGCAATATTAGAAAATCTATAGAAATGTGAAATCTCAAATACAAATAATAAAAAGACTGATCCATGTCTTCCACGTAGTCAAATCCGTTATTCGGGGCTACTTAGTTTTAAGGGTAACTCATGTCTTCCAAAGAATGTAAAATTAAACGAGTGCTTTATTAAATTCTACGTTTATTCGAAATATGTTTTATGGTGGTAACGGTGGCGGTTTTCGGAATCGTTATACGGTGGACGAGCGCGTTATTTTCGAAAGGCTATGGCGCGGCGCCCTGTGCCAGGCGTTTGGGGCCAAAGTTCCACCAAGAGCGATACCCAGGAGAGAGCAGTGCTGTTGCCATTGCCATTGCGGTATCACTCAGAATACCGCCCCCGGCAATGTCTTTCGTCGATTGTATCCTAAAAAAACAATGCGATCCGTTGTGAGGTAAAAATAATTCTTAATTGCCACGGTTTTGCGCAAATCCGAATTTAAACCCGTAATCCGATTGCGTCCTGCCACTTTTAAGGGTTTAAACTTGCTGATCCGATTAACTCGGAAGTTTGGAATTCCCTCGCGAATGAAAAGGGAAACATTAATGACATGTTAGTTGCAGTGCATGCACGCTAAAGGTTTCGCAATTACCATATGAAAGAAGGGGGTGAGTCACCCCTGTTTCGCTCGCCTTGGCATTCATTATTGATTTGCTCGCGTGCCGCGTAACAATAAAACGAGCGTATTTGCGAAAGAATGGTTTGTTACGTAAACTTAGAGTCGCCAAATAAGTATAATGTTGTGATTTTTAAACGGGAACGCTCTGTTAAAATGAGTCTTTGTTGCAGCGTTAGCGAAACTCATCATTTAGCCGAGGCCCAGAAAGAGAAAAATGCTCGTTTACGCGAGGCGTTTGGTATTTCCGAATATTTCGTCGACGGAAGCAGTTTTGATCCAGATCGTGAGGCCAAAGAGCAGGTGGCACGATCTGTCGCGATCCAAGAAAAAGAGCAACAAAAAGCCTTGGAACGGGAACTCCAGAAGGACTTGGAAAAAATGCAAACCACACGTTACGAACTCGTACACACACCCAGCCCCGAGCCACCTCCCATCGAAACCAAGAAGAAGAAAAAACGCAAAACAAAAGAGAGGTAAGTGCCGCTTACTCCATCACCGAACCACAGCCTAATCCTATTCTCACCCGCAGCTCCTCATCCGATGAGAAGAAGCGAAAGAAGTCGAAGAAGCGTAAAAAAGAAAGGTTAGAAATTGTGCTTATTTCGGTTTAGCAAAATGGAAAGGTCCGACGACCGTTTCCATTCTGCCCCCAAATTCTGAATGTCTGAATTTTGATTTGCTCCTTAAAACTATTTTTATTTCTACTAATATTTTGGTATAATATTTTTGTGCCGTGCGTGCGAAGGCCTCCAGGTAATGGTATGGTTTCGTTGAATATTTCGTAACAAATTTTTTGATCTTGCGTATATGTCTAGTGCAGCACGGGTGGACTGAAGGTGCGTTCAACCCCTTAAAGTCTTTCGGTCTTACGTCTATATTTAATTTTTAGAGAACGTGTGTTCTTGATCGACATAAGCAGGATTTAGCATGCATTTTATAGTATAAAAACAATTGAAACTTGGGGCATAACACCTTGTCAATTCGAATTCATGTAATCTTAATGGGAATAGGGTTGACCGCTCACTTGAGTTCTTTAAATGTAACAAAGATTAATTTTTTCATTTTTCACATTCTTTCAATATTTAGAGATTTCCAAATCACAATCCTTGTTTGTTTGGAAAGTATCCGATTAGGAAGTGAGTTTTCCTATCTTTCCAGAATTGTAACAGAAAAAAAAACTAAACATCCTGGTCACAGAACCACTGTGCAACATTCCTCAAACAGCTACATATTGTCCTGTCTTTTCTAAGACAAATGTTGCCCAAATTTAAGTTCAAATCCTCTCCCTCTTGCTGTCGTTAACGCTCGTTGGGATGAAGTGTTAAGATGGTAAGGGTTCTAAGTTTATAATTAACAATTGTAGTGAGCGGGTGGTAACAATGATAAAAGGATAAATAATATTGATTTTTAATTTAACATTACAATTACATTTTCTCAAAATAAATTAATAACAAGTCTATGCAGATAATTTTGAAATATTTTATGAATCTTCGGTAGTTGGCAGGGTGGTGGGGTAGTTTCCTTGGAACGGTACTGTTTTCTCGGCGCCTCCAGGACGTTTTCAATCCTTGCTCCTGGTCACGGGGCGGTTTGCGGAACGCCACGGGTACTCAAACGGTTAAGGGGGGAACAGCGATTTTGCGGGCAAATGGCGGTGGTGACTGCCGAAAATCTAAAACAAAATTACGACACACGGGACGGCCGCAATTTCCCAAATCGGAATGGAAGCACAAATTAACTAACCCTATCTATTGGCTACGGGAAAGCGGAACAGAACACGGGAAACAAACCCCCTTTATAAATAACAGAAAGAAAAATATCAAGATTACCTTGACCTTCAACGGTGCGATCCCCTCGAGTGATAAAGTCTAAAAATAAAAACTTCTCTTTTTAATTACGTCCCCTAAAATCTGGGACTAATTTTGAAATTCATGTTTAATTAAGCGCGCTTCATTTGGCACTAGGTAAAATCTAATCAGCTGCAACACATCTGATTCGCTACTGGTATTTATACTTAATTGCCATGATTGGGGTGTAACGTTGTTTCTCAATCTTTGACGTGAATATAAAATTAGTCGAGTCAATCCCTTATTTTAGAAGTTTATGGGTGCAAAACAGCGCATAAGGTGGACGTCTCAATGTTTCTAGATTCTAGATCTAGAATAACATTACCTAATATATCTCCGAAATGATTTTCTCTCCAAATGATGCTCTCCCCATTCCAAGGGCTGTCGGATGCAACAAAACTAATTCACTCGCTATAGGAACAATTTGAAAACGGATGAATTAAATAAGGCAAAACTAAATATGTCCAGAGCTATAGTCTTCGTAACAAAGCGCTTCCACGCGAGTCCATATACCGGGTGTTCCTCAACGCAGGTAGCTTCAAGGCGGAAAATAAATGACTTGCAAATCACACGAGAATAACTAGGGGCTTCATTGATTACAAGGAAGGGAAAAAGAGCCGTTGAAAACCTTCTAGGACTTACTTTCTTACTTCATTTCCAATTTTACATTATATTAGTTGTCAACACATATCACATCAGGGAATTTATCTCCCTTGTAATCCTGACTTTACACTGTTATTTAAAATATTGAACCATCTTTCACCGAAATGAGTGTGTTTAGTATGACTATTATGTAACGGAGCTTGACATTCACACCAAAATCTCACGGTACGAAGAATACACATAATTTTTCTTCATGGTTAAGAGCTCAGGACTCAGGACATGCAGTGTCTCACCATAACAATAATATAGGGGTATGTTTGGGGTTTGCGTTTATGTTTCAGTTCAGGCGTCCGGCTTTGGCTAGGACATGACTTGTCTCATTATATAATATTTATAATATTTGCATACAAATTCCAATAACATAAATACTTAGGAGCCATGAAAAATAATCGCATTTGGCATTTATCCACAATAAGATGGTGGATTGCAAATAAATTCAACAAATATATTACGCCCCTCCCATGAAACAAACAAACCCCTCACTTATCGCACAGGCCGATAACAAAAATCGTACTTGCATTCCAAAGCCACCTTCTTGCGAATTGTTTACGTGTGAAAAAAAATTATGCACTCAAAATCTCTTAAATTATCTAAACACCCTGTATATTAATCTCGAATGGAAGCCACCCACACCTATGGAAAGTTCCACTAACTACAATACGCCCTAAATGGATTAACACCCTGTACCAATTTTCATCCTTATGCTAAGGGAATTTTTACTTCCCATAAAAGAGACATTCTCACTGAAACTTCTACGTACATGAGAACGCATGTGTCCTTTCTAACAAATATACAAAGCTACCTACCCCAAACACTTTTACCTTTACTGAACTGTTAACTTATTTAAAAACATCTTGGACAAAAGCCCTCACATTTATAAAGCAAACGGCAAATAAACAAGAGCAAATAATCAACACCCTATACCAATTACAAAGAGTGAGCACATTTGTGAATGATCACATGACACACAAAAATGCTACAAGTATTCTGCAGCCTCAACTTCGCAGCTTTTCTTTTTCTTGCTTCAGAAAGCCCGACGCGCATTAACTTACGAACTCTTGTCGTTGTGCAATTTGATTTGGCAGATCCGCGGCCAAAAAATGTGCAGTGGCGTAACTTGCGCTTTTCTGCTTTATTCAAATGCATAAAAGTGGGAACGATAGAATTCGAAAACTGTCAGATATCTTACATCGCACTATCTTAATTAATATTTAATTTTGCTTCTGCAGGTTGAAAGCTACTGCTTTAAAACGACCAATTATTTCAGGTTGAGATTGGAGGGACGGTGAGGGAACTCATAAAAGTGAAAGAGATGCAGGCATTTGTGTTTTCCAAGTTGGCCGTCCTTTGTTTATAGTCATTACTCAATGGACGGTACACAGGTTCGCTCCACGAACAAGAGCGCGGCGATCCTCTTCTTAGGGAAACGTAATTTTCGAAAGTTATCGTCGGCGGCTTCAACATCGCATATGTCAGTGCACATTTTATCTAAAAAAAAAAAAAACAGTAAATACTTGTTGGTTCAGGGTAGGCGGCACGTAGTTTGCAAGATTTGGCGAGGTGGCGCCAATGATGCTTTTGTAATAACTACGGACGTGTGCTGCAACATGAGTTTGTAACGAACATTAGTAGACCTGTATTTAGAAAAAGTTAAGGACACGGAAGCGCAAGAACTCGAAGCTCAATTGTCGATAGGTGGTGTTGAATATGTTGTATAAATGAAATATTGCAGCGCGACTCTTTGGCAGAAAGTACTACTAGCACGAGTACACGCGCACAATCTACTTTACCGAATTTGTGTTTTTCTAGATCTCTATCTCTATTCATTACCTTTGCGACGGCGACATAACCCAATCTTTTGACCTTGAGAGTTCGAAAAGAGTTTGGTGCAATTTTCACCATTATAAATTTTTATAGAAGTACGGACTGCTTTATTTTGCTTTATTTACGAACATACGTACCCTTTGGTACGAACGCAACATGTAATTTTGCGTGATGGTAAGAAAATTTTCAAATACCTAATCAGGACCAGCCAAATTGTACACTACCTACCTCAATTTAATTAATAATTAACTTTGGTACAAAGCCCTTGTGCATACTATTGTATAAAAACATTAAACAAATAAAAGTACCTTCCGCTTTTATCATTGTTGACGATTATGTCTCAAGTTTCTAGCGACATCCGCGTAGGTCAGAGACTTGGCGTGGGTAGGTAGATATCAGTACCTACTGATGGTTTATAATAATTTAAATCTTTTAGCGATAAAAATATGTTTGATGGAAGAGTGGATGGGAAAGGTCTAAAAATATCAATGTCTTTTCTAATTGGTTGCGACTTCGAGCGATATGATATTAGTACTTCAGGAATGTTTATACACTTTCGGATGCTGTATCTGAATCTAAAATTTCTAAAATTCGAAAAAGTCCAGGAAACGAAACTTAAAATAGTGTAAAACCTGGCAATTTTTTCAAAATGCATCGATTTGCATGAAAATTTATCCTCCACTTCAAAATTTATGTTAGGTATGCCGATGGGGGCTCTTCATTGTTTAGGGGTGAAAACTACCCCTTTTTGCCAAACCCATAAAACTACATATTGCTATTGTGCAAAGGTAAAATCTCCGGTCAGCCGCGCACGTACATATAATCGTATCGATATCTCTCGAGTGGGGTCATGTTCAACACCTGTGAACCTATTTTCTAGTGGAAAAAAACTTTAATACTCTCCATTTTGATAACCCATGGTTCTATTTTGTTTCTTTCATTAAAATTCAGATTTTCAAAGTGGTGATATTCTTTTTGAATCAACCTGTATATGCATTACATAGTGTATAGGTGTATGGAATGGATGTATAAGTGTGTATATAAGTCTAATTTGTAGTACACGAAATATATACCGGTCATGTAGCATAAATTCTTCGATTTGTGCTTTCAGAATTTTTCGGAAAAAATTGTGATTCGTTTATTTTTAATCATAACTTCTTTATTTTTATGATAAAAAGTGCATTTGTAGGTTTTTACAAGACTATTTACATAAAATCCCTTTAAAACTCTTAGTTTTAAAATGGGGTGAGCCAAGAGATTTAAAACAAAGCAGTGCTCGCATATAAATATACGTTTTAAACGTCTATATCCACTTAATTTTTATCGTACAGAAAATTCCCGGTGAGGAAAATGTTTGGAATTAAAAAAGCTACAATTGGATGCTGTATAATTTTTAAATTTTTTGTAGATATTGTGAAGAGAAGAGCGTTATTCACAAAATTGCAAAAATCCGTTGTTCACTTTTAGGTTCAATTATTTCAAAATTAAGTCTTCTAAACTGGTCACTCTTCTAGATGTATTAATAATACGTAATTAGAGAAAACTGGAAAGGGGGAGGACTAATTTTAATTAGGGTGGTAATTAGGGGGTTGCTTTGTAACGGATTACTGTACAGTTTTCCCTTACAAAAATGTTTTCATTACTAGGTTTATTCTTGTTAAAAAATTATTTTATTTGTTTACAACAATTTAAAACATATTTTTGTCGATTCAGCGATTGCATCGTATTGCGTATGCAATATTTTAAATTATTTGTCGTCAATTGACGGATCAATTGTTTCATTTAATTAAGTATTAGTCTGACTTCTGAGCGTAAGTAAATTAATTCTAAGTAACAAGTAATTTAAATGTAATCCGTTTCAGAAACGTACCAGTTTTTTTATAATTTGAATATTGTCACTAGTGGAAATTTTTCCACAAGACGAAATAGGGTTGAACATAAACCGTAAGTAAACAAATGTAAGCAATAAAGTTTCTATTGAAAGTGCTATTTTAGCTATTTCCCGATTTTCTTATTTCGATATAAAAAAATATCGAAAGTAACGGTCAGAAGTCAGAACTACTATCTCCCAGTCAGGAGCCTACATTATTGCCATCTATTAGCATCCCTCCAATCTGGATGTACATCTTTTATAGCCAGAGGAATTTCACATGTTGAGAGGTTGGAGCTGTAAAGACAAAAAGGTCAGAGATACGTCCAATCATTATCATACTTACCTTCACAAAACAAGTGCTGTCCAGCTATCTGTTGAACTTTACCTATGCACATCAAATTTTTGAAAATCCATTACGTATACTTTCCTCGAATGCTTCCATAATTTCTTTTTCATATTGCATTGATTTTAATTATTTTTGTACATAATACTAACATTTAGTTTTAAGTTTTTTGTAATACTATTGTTAATTATAAGGAAGCATTTCGTTCAGTAAAAAAAAAAGGATTTCATTTGGTTTTTTGTGTTCATGATTTTGTCAAAAATGTCGTGACAGCTTGAGCTGATGTTTTCGCTGAAAAAAGTACGGATCTATCTTATTTTCATCATAACTCACTTAACTTTTATGCTAATGTTCGTTTTTAAAAAAACGAAGAAAGTTTTTTTTAAATACTTATAGAATAAGTATTCTACAACTTTTTCTCGAAAAATGCATAGTTTTGCCATTATTTGACTATCAAACTCTCTAATTTAGCGTTTAACGAACAAGAGCTAACTTTTAACAAACCAAAACTCGGTTGGTATTGTTCATACAGAAATTAGTAAAAAAAAAACCTTTTCTTTGCTTTTTTAAAACCTACGATTTTGTTCTCCACAGTTTTTTTTATAAAATGCATACTTTTCGTGTTTGTCGCGAATAACCAATTACAAACATTGATCTTTTCTATGAAAAACTCATACTTTCGGTCGCGAATAACTGGAGAAGTATTAACTTTCTAAAAAAATGTATAGAACACTTTTTGCTTAGAATTAATACTTCTATCTATTCCTGTATAAAAATTACAATAAAAAATTACCACCCCTGAGGTGGGGTGGCAACCACCCCCAGGGGGAAAGCGCTCATTGCGATGATATACATTTTGATCCTTAGGCTATTCCCTACCTACTGTCGAAATTTCAAGATAATCGATTCATTTTGAAAAAATTGCCATGGCAAAACCTTAATTTCCTGGACGAAAAAGGTTTGTGTGTCAAATGATCCCCTTTTGACCAACTTCACATCTGTCTAGAATAAAAATCCAGCACTACGTTCTGATCCCGATGATCTGTGTACTCCTGTCACTCCTGATATCCCAACATATAAGCGCTTACTTACAGGTGAGCCAATTTCGAGAGGGAAAAGCGAGGATTAATGTTTAGAAAAACTGTTTTGAAAAATTTCTTACCGAACATCATGGAAATGAAAATAAATTTTAAATATAATTTTAATGGTTTCAAATACGCAACTTGAGTCGTAAGCGTAACTAGTTCTTAAACGATGTTAGTTTATTAACCCATTATTCCACATTTCTATACAATTCCTAGGCAATGCGTATCATTGAGGGAAGGAAAATTTTTTATACAGCTCCCTCCCCATGGCTGAAGTAGTTTCCCTTCCCCTAAGTTTTAAAGGAAAATGCACCCCAAATTTTGAGGTAGTGTTTCATATCCAGTATCCAAAATAAAAGCTTCAGTACGTTACCAATTTATGTAACCAACTGGAACTTAGGTTGTTTAATGTACAAGTCGATAGCTCTGAGAAGCATAAAAACTAAAAAGAATTACAATAATAAAAGCCGTAGGTATTTCTTATCTTGCAATGTGATATGATACGCAAGGTCATTATACGGGTTAATTGAGGTAACGAGTATCCTAGTGTCCCTGCCGTAATCTAGAATTCTAGACAGGATGTTATCTAATTAAGACACAGAGGTCTTTAGAAGCGAAAATAGGGACGCTGTAATATTCCAACGGCGCGCCACCTATTATCATTGGGAGGTGCTATTATGGCGCAATTCACATATTAAATGGCGGAAAAATTTATTATTTTCATGAAAATTTGCATCATGTCGGAACGGAAGCACCGAGAAACTTCACTTAAGTTTCAAAAGATTCTAAATATGTAGTATTTTAAAATGTGAAAGTGTAGGAGATAACCATTACACAGTTCCATTTTAAATAATTGTTTTCTAAAAACCAAAAATTATAAAATCCTTATTACTGAAGGTATCGAATTCAAAACTTCCTATTATTAGCCCATATGCATTGTGATCATTTTAAAACAAGATTGGTTCAAATCGGTGCAGAAATAAAGTAGTGATGCAAAAAGAAATCCGCCCATGTTATAGGTATAGGCGCTATCGCCACCTTAAATGCAGATTGATAAATAAACGGTTACAGAAAAATGAACATTGATATGCGCAAAGTTTCACTTTTGACATTAAAAGAGAATTTTGATTCTTATTCTGCTTATGTCATCAAGAACATCCAAGTTTGATTGTCTACACTGTTTGATTAATCGCGTCTTAAAACGGTTAACGGTATGAACTAAAATACGTTTTTATTTAGATCGACGAAATCCAAAGAAACAAAGAAGAAATCCAAGAGTAAGCATTCCGGAAATTCATCCGATAGCGACTCGTCCCAGTCGGACGATTCCAATAGTGACGACGATGACAGGCGCAAGAAGAAGAAGCTGAAGAAAAAGGAGGTTGGTTAACAGAGGCTGTAGAATTTTTCCATTTTTGTAGTCTTTTAACACGAGTACATACTGTTACTAACTACTACTCTTATAAGTCTATAAATTCTCGTTGCTTGTTATAATTGGTTTTATTCATAGAGGAGTTCGATTCGGAAGACGTGGATAACGGACTAAGTATTTTGTTTTTGTTCGCGGAAGTACGCCACCGAATCATCTCGAATTGATTTGTTGGCTTACTTTCGGCCTTTTGTCACGAGAACTTGCTAAAGTGCGGCTAGCGTCAGGTTTGCGTTTTTTACCTATTCGTAAGCTCCTAAGTTCCTAATTAAATTTACTTGTGCATGTGCTCAAGTTTTATGTTTATGGAAGTTAAACATTGTTCTGTTTGAACCTTGCACATCATAACATAGGATTAACCTGACTGGCTTACAACGCTGATAGTAAGTATAGGCCCATAGGCCCCTAGAAATCAACTGCATGCTCTTCATATAAATTACCAGTTTGATAGGCATACAGCTCAACAGGGCCGGGACGTTCGGCATTTTTCGGAAGGATTTCCAAGTTCTTCCGAGTGCGTTCGAACGTCTGACTCTCGCTGTAATTGCCTAACATTCGAATTTTTAGGTACACAGTAATTTTAGTAACTTTAAGATAATTCACCAGAAGTGCATTACACAAGCTTTTCTTGTGATTTTTCCATCTGAAGCACAGATAAAATACAGCAGATGCAGTGTGGCTTTAATTTTTCACTCGCATATCTCCTCATTACAAATGCGAAACTCAGGTGGCGTTGCCGCTTTGTGCAGTATATTTCAATTGTTACCTTGCCGAGGAGTTTATCTTTCCATAAGTAAATTCACTTGTTTAGCTCTGTATAATTACCGGGGCGCAAGGCCCGCCATATTTGTTTCATAAAAATGTGGCAAATTTAAATATCATGCTGGGTATGGGTTATGCAGGGTAAGATACTTACATTTGTCGCCGTTTTTGATTCATTAATTGTGGTTTTTGTACATTTAGGGGTAGTATCTGGTGTACTTTATTTGTGCGTGAAGTAAACACGTTTCAAAGGAGTTTTCTTGTGTGTTTGTGTGTATTAATAGGTACCTAATTAAACCACATTTCTAAACTTGTGCATTTTCTCACAGAAAAAGAAAGTTGCCAAGAAGAAACGATCTTCTAGTGAAAGTTCTCGTGAAAGGTACACCTCCGCTTTTAATATTTTGGTATGCTAAAACTCAACTTGTAGATCGCCTATTCCTCCTCCTCCTCCAAAACTGACTGACACAGACAAAAATAGTGTCAGGGTAAAAAACTCTAGTAGAGACAACGAAGTACAAAAGATAAGCGTTGATCAGGAATTAAAACGTGGTCACGAGAAGTACGACCTCAACAAAAATCGTTCCGGGTCCCCAAAACATTCGAGACACAGAAAAGAAGAGAAATATCACGAAAGTTATCGATCAAGATCGAGAACTCCGGAGAAGAGGTATTCGAAATCCTACAGAGAGGAGAGACACCAAACAAATCACGTGCAGGAGGACGGCAAGTTTTCTAATTCCAGAACTAAATCGCCCAACTACAGAAGCCACAAAGAGAGACATAGGTCGCGCTCTCCCGTTTCCCATAATAACAAGCGATCCAGCCCGACACACGATTACAGGCGAAGGGTCGATCAAGATCACAAATACTCGACTGCTCGGAAATCGCCCGAGAAGCATTCGGAAAAGCCACAGTCGCCCGTCGCAAGAAGACGATCTCCCGAGCCGAAACGATCTCCAGAGCCTAAAAGGCGAGAATCACCTCCGCCTAGGAAAGGTACGTACCGCCCGTCGCCTGAGCGTCGAAGAAGTTCATATGAGAAACGTGACCATGACCGATACCAAAAAAGGTCTAGGTCTAGGAGTGCCGAGCGTCCTAAGAAGCACAGTGAACCCAAGAGAACCAAGTCAAATTCTATTCATAGATCGCCCGATTTGAACCGTGGCAAAGTCGAGGAACCCAAGTGTAATTCTAGTCAGAATGGTAGATCGCCCGAAACGTCAATGGAGACGCCACCTAGGCTAGAAGCGCCCAAGGTAAATCACAGTTCCGAATCCCAAATTAAAACCCCACCCAGGGAATCGCCAAGGACCGGACCGAAACGTAGCGCGGAAAAGTCGCCCAAACGCAAAGGCCGCCAGCAAATGCCCGTGGTTCGCCTCCGATCGTCGAGCGAAGACGAGAAGTCCGACCACGACAACGAGAACGTCGACGAGGAGCGCGAGAAGGAGCTGCGCGTGCTCCGTCTGCTAAAGTCGGGCCTGGCGGCGAAGGCGAAGGAGTCGCTCGAGAGGAAAATTCCCAAGCTGAGGCAGGAGAGGGCGCCGAAGTCGACAGTCGAGAAGTTCTCGAGTCCGAAGGCGCCGGAGCAGAGGCCGACAATCCAACCGGACAGTTTCGACATTCGCGTTCTGCCGCTCAAATCGAGCGAAACGGTCGAGAAGGGCGTCACGAAGCAGACGCGGAATTACAACTGCAACGAATTCGTGCTGCACAAAAACGAGACGACGAGTAAGAAGTCGACGAGCAGCAGCCGGTCGAGGTCGAGGTCCCATACCAAATCGAACAGCATGTCTAAGGTTAAGAAGTCCAAGTCGAGAAGCTCGTCGCGCTCTTCGTATAGGTAAGAAAATCTAAATAATTGTTGGGTACATGCTTTAAAAATAGAGATTTAATCCAAATCATTCGCATTGCAAGGTTAAATTTAGAAAATGGTAGTTCACAGAGTACAAATATAACAATAGGCTGGGAAAAAAAGAACTGACCAAGAAAAAAACCAGCCAACAAATTAATATTGAACTTTATAACAAAATTAGTTATCTGTAACGGCATGAATGCATATTATGATGGTTGCCAAGTAAATTTATATAATGTCGAATTACAGGCTCCACTGGAATTCCTAAAGAATCAATATTTCACTCACATAACAAAAAACCATCATTAAAACATTACAATAAATTCACGTAATAAGTTTGGATATTGGATGGCCAGTCCAAATCCCACACCGAGTAGTCTTTAGTTGCTCTGGTCATGACATGTAAACATTCTATGAAAACGGTAGGAGTTTGCCTCTCAGAAGAGCCTTTCACATAGGAAGGATACCCCAATTGGTAACAAAAACAAAAGGTCACAACGAGAACACGCCGCACGAGCGAAGAAAGTATGATGCTAATTTTCCCATTCAAAAATCATTTTTTTGATTTTTTAAAATTTATTTGACTTGTTAAATTTCTTAGGGGAATTTTTTGAAAGAAAAAAAATTCCTCTAGTGCTTGAATATGAGCCATATCAAAAGTGTGATTTTCGAATATATCTGAGTGAGAAACAATTCTCCTACTGAAAATCGTATGCGATTCTTTATATCTTGATGATTAAAAAAAGATTAAAGCAATTAAAAAAAATTAAAGAAAGAGTCAAAATATTAATCTTCTCTGGTATGTTAAATTTTTGAAAAGAGAATATAATATAATAATTTTATAGGGGTGTTTATTACAAAAATTCTGTATAATGATTGTTGAATAATCTACTGTTTTCAAAATATATACCGGTCAGGTAAAAAAGTTATAGGACCTGTTTTCAAATAGAGCACCCTAAAACATAGCACATTAATGGCCGTTTGCACCGACAAATTTAAGTGGAGCTTAGCTTAAGCTCCATGGCAACCATTGTTTCAATAATCGTTGCCATGGATTTTAAGCTACGCTTAAGCTAAGCTCCGCTTAAATTTGTCGGTGCAAGCGGGCATAAGTGCTCTTGTCAGAAATTTACCACACCAAGGATGATATTTAAAAAGATACAACTGATTCAAAAAAATTAAAAAAACATTCGAAAAGATTAAAAAAAACTTCAAAAGATCAAAATAACAAAAATTCAAAAACAAAACTTTCCTTGAATGTTTTTCAATTTTGAATTCCTTTAGCTGTAGAAAAGAATTTAATACGTTATCCTTTTAAATTATAGTATATGGGGTGTACTATAAAATTAGGTTAGGTCAGATAACCCATTTAGGTGAGCCCGTATAATTATTTAGAAAATGCTAGATTATTCAACAATTATTAAAAACTAAAAACAGCATTATATTCTGTTTTCAAAAATTTAACACTCCAGGGATAATATTCAAAAAAGATTCAAGTGGTACAAAAAATTAAAGAAAGATTAAAAAGTATACAGGGTGTTTTATTAAAAAAAAATTCGGTTAGGTTGATAACCTAAACGAGAAATTATTACTGAACTGTATTAGAGTTGAAAGCATTTTTGCTTGAGCTTGAGATTATCGTTTTTTGGACATGTTAAAATTTCATGAAATGTCGACGTTTTAGATCATCTTAAGCACATTATAACGGCTGGACGGATTTTGTTCAAGTCTTGGATACGTGCATTAGGCATGCGGAAACGAAAAATAAAGGGCCGGATTTTTGAAAAAAATGGTGTAGCACTGCAACGTAATCGAACTTTTATTTAAACAAATTGTCATTAATTATTCCATAGGCGTTATTTTTTTGTGTACAACTTACAAAAAATTGTGGCAGGTTTTATTAAAAATAAAAAATGAGAAGAAAGTTTCAAAGTTGATTTTGTTAACATTTTGGCAAACACTTTTTTTAATAGGTATGTTTTTTGTTTTGTGCCCTGACACAAATAAAAGCAAGTTAGGCAGCTGTTCTGTCAAGAATTTGGCACCTAGTTTTAAAAATGGCAGGCTTGGTTTCAGCATTTTTCTCTGAAATGTTCTTATGGAATGCTTAGTTTTTTTGGTATCAGCGGAGATTTTGTTGGGGGGGGGGGGGGCAGTTAAAATTTGACATTTGGCGAAGCCAATCATAAATTTTCTTTATTTGATTAAAGACCCAACAAAATTAAGTATGTGAATTAGCCTGTGTCTCAATTCAAGACTTACCCCTGGCGCGATTTAGTTTTAGTTTTTTTGGACAAAAAATGCGAAAAACCGAGGAGAAAAGGCTGTAACAGCGAAAAGGGTATAATGTCACATAAAAAACTAGTGCTTTTCAAGTACTTTTCAATTCTTCCATAAAATGGAGTGTGCCATTTAAACATTTGTAAATTTGATACGCCACTGGAATACAGCGTACCACTGGTAACCAGAAATATTTTAAAAACATGACAACTTGCCCGCACTTTTTTTCAATATCCTTTATGGTAAAGGAATTACGATTCCAGGGGTCATAGATGCTGGAGAGACTTTTGATTTTAAATGTTGCTAAGCAGTGTAACAGGTGCCTAAATATGTAAAAAATGCGTCATAGAGGGGCCAAATCAAACATTTATTTCCACTGTGTCCATTTTTCGAGTGCCACTATGGGGATCTCGCTTACCTGAAGAGATAGAGAGTGGGTTAAATGGGAGCGAAGTTGCGAATTTTCGTGCTGAATAATAATCTGAAAAGAAATTAAAAATATCTTTAGTAGTTTTGAAAATATCGCAAAAAAACATTATTCAGACACTTTTTAATTTTTCAGGAAGAGTGCTTTGGAAAAACAAAAGTTCTTTTATCGTGAACAAAAGTTTGACAGTTTGATCCATATGCCTGATTGGAGCGTTGGCAGGGAACTAGTTGTGTTGAGATTTTCATCTGAATAGAATTGAACCTTTCGTTTTGCAAGAAAATTATAATTCAAATTAAAACAAAGAATAAATAATATTTTCGCAATAAATCTAGCACAAACGTAAATTACACTACTGGAAATAAGTCAACCTTTTGTTCACAACAAAAGAACGTTTTGTTTTTCCAAAGCACTCTTCGCAGAAAACGAAAATTGTAATTTTAGGAAAAATTTGTTACTGAACCACCAAGTGTGATATATTGTTGTAAAGAGAAAAAAAGACGTAATCTCAAAATGTCAAAATCCAAAACGGCGCCCATAAGAAAAATTAAAGTTGCCACGTGTTTATCCGTCATCTTAAAAGCTATTGAAAACGGGATGCCATATTCGAAATCTCCATTAAAAAGTGTCTGAATAATGTGTTAATTAGAAATGTCTACAACGATTAGTTTACTATGAAAAAATTAAAAACGAAAATCAGAAATTTTCTTTTTTTTGCCATATTTTCAAAACTATTGAAGATATTTTAAATTTCTTTTCAGATTATTATTCAACACGAAAATTCGCAACTTTGCCCTCATTTAACCAAATGTCTATCTCTTAAGATAAAGCGAGATCCTCATAGTAGCACTCGAAAAATGGACACTCTGTATTTGGGAGTTTTGCCCCTCCTAAAATTTTCGTTTTTTTTTAAAGTGTATCACGTAGAAGAATAGAACTAATGGCTTTACCTAGGTTTTTTGGATATGCTTTTTCCGATTTCGTAAAAAAATACTATTGGATGAAACACTAAGAAGTGCGAAAAAATTCCAATTTCAACGAAACTTTGTATAATCAGGAATCGCTGAACATGAATATAACGAAACAAGGTAGGTCTTGGAAAATTACTTTAATAAGAAGCGTTAAAAGGAAACGTTATTCTTTGCACTTTATTGTATAAAAAATCATTCAAAAAATTTAAGTAAACCTACATGCTTAAATAGTATATTAAGATACAAGTGTATAATCAGGTCTTTAAAGCACGCGCAACGAGTTTAAGGGCACGACGCAAAGCGGAGTGCCTTTAACGTTGCAAGTGCTTTAAAGACTAATTATACACGTGTATCTTATAGTATTTTTTATTATACCTGCAGTATAATTTAAAAATAGGAAATACAATGAAGTCATATTGACGTTATACTCGAATACATGTCTAATTAAGTGGGCTGGGTGTTCGTAATTTCACGATTGCCATGGAAATGTCACTTGACGTTTGCTTATAAAAATCATCGTCTTTGTGAATTAAACGATTTCCGTTGAAAAAGATAATACACCGTCCATTAAATCGATTGTTGTAAAATCTAAACAAACGTTGGTAGGTGTAAAATCCAACTCCAGTAAAGCCTATTATAAAGAATATGAAAAGTTGTTTCCATGGATGAATAGGAAGTTACTTACAAATACAGTCTTAAATGCATCCATAATGCTAGCATATATGAAGGAAATGTCAAAGGTATTTAAATCTTCAATATTTTGGTGCATTCATTCAAAACTTTAAAGCAATGCTGCGATTAAAAAGTGGAACAGATTTGGAAGCATGCCCTAAATTACGCGCGTTTGTGAAAGCTTCAACCAAAGGATAGGTACAAAAGCCAAAGAAATGTTCTGCATTTACAGAAAGCGACCTAAGAGGATTTTTTATTTCATCCAGATGACAGTTTCAAAAGTCATACTTGAAGTATCGTTACTTAGCAACTTTAAAGCACGTGTGTTTTAAAGGCCTTTTTTCGCACGCATTTGAGTGTTTAAAACGGAGATTGTGATTCAGGTATAATAAAATAGTTATTTGTGTACCAAGGCCGTAAAAGTGATCTTTTTTGGCCGAAGCTGCTGTTTGTGGCCGAGGCGGTAGCCGAGGCCGCAATTCAGATGAGGCCTAACAAATCACTTTTGGCCAAGGTGCACACAACATTTTTTAGGCGATCATCAAAAAAGAATTCAAAAATTTGCTCATAAACATATTTTTTCTGAAAATCATAGTTATCTTAGACAATTAAAAACAAAGCATTTCCTGTCATATGTAATTATAATTAGCATCTTTGCGTGTGTTTTGTGCGTATCAAAATGGGTGATAGCGACAGTTCAGATACCTACCCAAAATGAAATTTTGGAAGCTGCAAGCGTTGCGACCCTATGTCATATATGATATAAGAGCAGGAGTTTGAGAGTAAAAGTACAATCGCAACTTCCTCCGCTGCACAAGATTTTAATAATGTCAAATGCAATACGTTCTTCGTAACTGTGGCTTCCAAGACCTTATAGTTAACATGCTGTACAATTATTAGAAACCTGATTACCTACTTTGATGGTAGGTATAGGTAGCTACTTGTGTTTTCGGTTAATTGCTGGTGATTCTTCGTATAATAATGTAAGCAACAACATCTTCCTCACGTTTTGGTTCTACACTTCAAAAAGGTCTGCAAGCAGCAAAGATTGAAACGTCAAACTATAATTTTAAATGTGAACATTGTGATTATGCAAAATGGTGTGAAACATTCCTACAAGTCCGAAAATGAAAAAAACGCACGTGGATGGCCCAATCCTTGATGGGGCGAGACCAGATAGACGCTTTGTATCAAACAGATTACTGTTTCTCAAACATCAGTTTCAAATAAGTACAGTTTGACAGATGTGTACAATAAAGTAAAGTTTGACAGAAGCGTAAAATAAAGTGAAACTTTATGGCCGCAAAAGCGACCATAAAATCAACGTTTTTGTGATGATAGCCTAAAAAATGATTTATTGTACCGTGCGTCTAGCAAGGCGTCTACATCAGGGGCGGACTGGGTAACTGCGGGCCAGGTGGAATTGCATAGGTTACGGGCCATTAAAGTATTAGTGTAGTAATGATGGTGACCGAGGGGGGGGGGTAGCTCTGAGGTGCACCACAAAAACATTTTAAAGTACTCCTTTCTCGAAAATAAATTACCATACAGTTTTTTTTTAAATTGCAGCTGATAATTAAAAGTTACAAAATATACAATCCACATGAGATGTGTCGCCTATCATTTCATTGTATTTCAGCACTTATTAATAGTGCAAGAAACTAAATACAGCACATACTTATAAATTTCCAACGGGCCATTATGATCTACAGGCCAAGTGGCAATCGCCCCCCCCCCCGTGTCAGTCCGCCCCTGGTCTACATAACTAAGAGGGTCACTATTTTTCGTGAGGTAATATCGAGGGTATAGAATGAACTTTTTCCAAAATAAAAACATGATTACACCAGTAAAATTATGAAATGAATTTTTTAAATTGAGGTTTTCTCTTAAATTTAATTATATGTAACATTATTTATGTTGCTATGTCAAAAAAAGTGTACTCTTTAAGAATATGTAATGAAAACTAATAGTTGCCATTAAAAAAAATCCCCCCTTGATCATGCAGAAGTACGCCACTGTCCAGAAATACGTAGATTGGTAGTAAATTGTTTATAATTTTGGATACCATTAAGCTTCTTTTAAAAAAATGTTGCAAAGGTATTCAGGGTTCCAGACAAAATTTTCACCTTGTATTTAGTAAACTATAGGCATTTTCTGCGGAACTATTTTAATGACTTGTCAGAAACTTTAAAACTATTAACAATCTCTTCAGAACTCTAACAAAAAGCCAGCGGGAAGTTGGGTGGGATTTTAGGATTTGTCAAAAACTTTACGGGGGTGTCCTGAACTATAGTTACAATTGCAAGTGCGCTGTTTTTATCTGTTGAATTCCTTTCAAAAATAAAAAATTATATCACAACTAAACTTTTTCAAATTCTTTACAAAGCAGATCGTCATCATCAAGCAGTAGCCATCACACGACGTCCAGATCACCATCGCGAGCGCATAGCAGTCGCTCGCGATCGCGAAGCACCTCGCGCAGTACAAGCTCCGATTCCTCGAGGTCTCGTTCCCCTTCCATTCCTAGACGTCACGGTTCGCCGAGCTTTCTCGACCGGCGTAGGATAACGAGGTGAGTTACCTTAAGCATGATTTACCTAGAAAAAGGATAGTTCGCACGAATAGATGTTTATTTTTATTGTTTTTATTTCAGCAAGAAGGTGTAACACTTGAAATGATTTGTAGCGTAGGTTTTGTTTTTATGATTTTGTTTAGCGTAAGTAAATTTTTATTCTGTATTACATTACGTTTAAGTTGATCCTGTCCTACAATGTTTGACGCAAATAAATGTTGTACATTCTTCATTTTTATTATATTTGCTATAGGCTCGTCCACTACTTTGCACCACGCGCTTAGTAAACTGCTTCGCTCTGTAGTTACGACGTGCAAGCATGATCTTACAGTGACTAATTGCATGGAATTTACTAACCAATACTAATACAGTGCACGCAAACGACCTATTCCGTACCATCGTCCGACACCTTCTTCGCCTTCCACCGCAAGCAGCTACAGCAGTAGCCCTTGGTACAACAGAAATCACAGCTCCAGTAGAAGCAATTCAAACACGAGTACTTCGAGATCGGCAACGAGATCGCCTTTACCTCTACTGTCACCATAAAACATTAGCCGACCAAATTTGTGTATATTTGTTGTAAATTATTTAAAGAAAAAGGTATGGGAATTTGTTATAAAATACTCATTCAAGCTACATTTTCGGAGTGCAATATTTTTTTAATTTATTTGAGAGGAATACTCCTTTTTTTTGTACATAGAAATTTAGTTACTACTTAGAACAGGGCATGCTTGTTTTGTGCAATCTTCTGAGAAGACTCCACTTCGTATTCATTCCAATTCTAGTCATAAACGGTGTGATAAAGATTTAACTTATTTAATTTATTAAAGAGCTTCAAGGTTATTGAAGGACGCAATTTGCAATAGGTAACGTAGGGTCTTATGTTTTCTCTATTTACAAAATGTATCTCAAAGAGCATTAGTACGTAAATACTTGTTAGCTAAGTGAGTAAATATATCCTTACAGCCGTTTATTAGAGTTTTCATTCTTCACTTCCAATTCCAAGTGCTACTCGTCACTGGAAAGTGAGAAATTTACAAGATTCCTGTTGTCCGTGTAACATCCTCTTTGGGGTGGTGATTCTACCAAACCCATGTGGTGCATGTGCTTATTTAGTTTGCGGTGCCTAGAAACTATGCTCACCGAGTAACCTCGGGTTCTTCCTTGATAGCCATGTGCAAAACTGTGCCAGGCTACGAGGTGGTCCTTTGAAGGCTTCTCTCACATGGTGACAATCTAACATGTTCCATCTAACATTGTGTGGGTTTGGGTGTCTTGAGTTACAACTGTAAGTGGAAGAGTCGGCTCTGGACCTTGAAACACCTGATTTGAGGTCAGTCGGGCTAACTCATCCGCTTTCTCATTACTTTCCCTTCCAGCATGCGAGTACAAGGATGCTTGGTGACATTCGGAAACCAACTTAAAGGTAATTTTACAGTGACCAAGTGCTTGCAGGGCAGCCCTGGTGTCACAGGAGATTTTGATAGTTTTATTTTTTATGTTATGCATAAGAACTTTTCATGCACCAAGCGGTAGTCCTACCAACTCTGATTGGAATACAGTGGGAAGCTTGCCTAGTGGTGGGGTGATATGGAAGTTCAGTTCTTTGGAGTAAATACCAGTGCTCGTTTCTTCCATTGTTTTAGATCCATTCGTGAAGATGAATATGTCATCCCCACCCTCGTGAAATCGATCGCCCTTCTATCCCTTAATCACCTCGCCCAGAATTGGAGAGTGGCCCACCTTAATACTGCTGCTATTCAACAACCCCTTATTTTTCAGATGCAATGGATGCCAGAGTAGTCTGCCCTCTCACGCGGAGATCTAGTGGAAGCAGATCCAGATGGGCTTCCATGGTAGTTGTTCGCATGGCGCCCCTGCAAGCAAGGTACGCAAGTGTTTGCACATGAATAAGAAGTTCTATAGTTGTGGAGAATCTGGTTCTAGGCCACCAAACAATGGCTCCATAGCAGAGCATGTGTCCCATTTTGGTTAAGACTGCAGTGTATCTCACCTGTTTTTAACGATAGGGACTTGCGGTTTTCGCGAAAGTTGGTATTTTTTAAGTGCAATACCCTGTATATCTTAACGGAAGTTTTTGCATTTTTTTCCTGATTACATTGATGTATCACAACCTATATTTTTTTTTAATTTTAGCCATGAACAAAAAATAATAACCTATTTTTTTACAGTTTTTAAATAGTAGGCTATGGATTTATGGAGATGTTGTTTTGTTTGCAGCCGATAGCAATCAATAAACATGGCCAACGGTAGAAACATTTCAAAATTTTGAAAAATATGATATAATATACAGGGTGGTGACTTGCGCATCATAGGGATTTCAATGTAAAATTCATAACATGCGATTATTGGCTTCCCAAATTATTTTAGAGCAAAAACGTATTAAGGTTTTTTGTAGAAAACAATTTTTCACGTCAATTAACACGTTCAATTTTTTGCATAATAAAGACGGAAAATTGGAAAAATAAAGCCTCCATCTTTTTCAATAATCTGTGATGCCATGGAATTTTATAATACAAAAACTACGCCAATATCCGTCATGCCATGGAATGTCTGCTATAAAACAAATCAAATTCTATCAAAAAGTATTATAGAACAGCGAATTCAATATAAAGAAAGACCAAATTACTAAAAACGGTTTCCTAATATAACAATTTACAATAAATGTTCGAATAAGTCACCATTAACTGCAAGAGAGTAACCAAGTCGATCATAAAATCTATTTCGAACTGCTGCTAATTGATAACTGGATATCTTTTTGTTTTAGAAAATTCCATGGCATCACAGATTATTGAAAAAAATGGGGGTTTTATTTTTCCAATTTTCCGTCTTTATTATGCAAAAATGGAAAACTAATACGGTTGATTGACGTAAAGAATTGTTTTCTACAAAAAACCTTAATACATAACATTTTTGCTCTAAAATAATTTGGGGAGTCAATAATCGCATGTTATGAATTTTACATTGAAGTCCCTATGATGCGTTACGTAAGTCACCACCCTGTATAAAAAAATATTGGTTGTGATAAATCAATGTAATGAGGAAAACGAGAGTGTTAGCGTTTAAAAAATACTAATATTGACCTAAATCTCAGATATGGTGGTCCAAACAAAATTTTTAACTACGCCACTGGATTCTACGTAAAAATATATAAAAAATCCGTTTTTACCTTTTTTCTATCTTTCATGGGTAGTAAGATTTTGTTGTTTTTACCCTGTATCTCAGATACAGCTAGCTTGATTCTGTTTGTGGTATTAAAAGTTTCATAAAAAAGTGGCACAGGGCGCCAAAATCGCAAGTCTCCATCCTTAAAAACAACCGAGATACACTGCAGGCTCAACCAAAATAGGAAAGACAACCTTCGGGAATTATTATAGTACTAGGGGTGGTTCCAGTTGGTTCCTGCGTTGCGCCCTTTTGATCTATTGTGCTTTTTGGTACTGTCTACCCTTCAAGGAACCTGTATCTTTAACAAAGTTTAGGATTTTGATTTGGAAAATCTTGGTTACTTCCTCTTGTCCATGTTTTTCATTTTCAAGTCAGTGTTGTGCATATGCTTCACATTGGCAAATTATGTGGTTGTGGTGTTTCGTCATCCTTACCACAACCCCTGCATAACGAGCTATTAATCAATCCCATTTTGTGCAGCTGTTTGTTCAAACGACAGTGTGGCCTGTGACCATTTTTGTCTCGAGTTTTGTCTTCATTCTACTTAGCTTTAAGATGGACGTTTGGGGTTTCCAGCAAGATCTTGGAATGGTTCTGTCCTGGAATTTTCGACCAATGTCTGCAGTGCTCTTTTGTGAGTTTTGCCTGAAACTCATTTCTGGCTGTTATATGTAATCCTCTTAAAGCAACTTTGCAACCTTTCACTTGTCACTTTGCAATGTCATTATTTTAAAGAGCAAAGATTGTTATCTATTTCATAATAGTTCATTTTTCATTTGCCTATTATATGCCAATTATATCTGTCATATGAGATATATAAAGCAGTCTATGACGCCCGAGGGCATAATGAGATGACAATCCATTATGCCCTCTCATTATGCCCTCAAACTGCCTGTCAAATATATTGATGGAGTTATGTAATAAAAAAAGATGCTACTTGATTCGTATGAAGCACTAACAATAATCATTACATTTGTATATTGGAAATGAATTATTTGGAACAATGAAAAATAAAATTTTGTATGCACCTCGGGCATTACTCGATATTTAACCCTTGGGCGACTTACAATCCCTCGGGCTAGAGGCCCTCGGGCTCTGTCGCCCTCGGCATAAATATTGCCTTAATGCCCTTGATACATAAATTAGTCAACGTAGCATTTCGTGTGTCATCTACTTTACATATTTTGAGTGGTATCACGTGTCAAAATAGTCTTTATGGACCAAAATATTATCAGAAAAATGCAGAGTGACAAGTGAAAGTTGTTTTTTTTATGTTTTATGAAATAGGCCCCTGGGTGCTTACGATTTCCCATGTGCTCATGTCACACTTGTGACTGTGTTAGATCTTCTAGTGCGTTTAGCACTTGTTTGCATTCAAGGACTAGTCTTGAATCATCTGAGTTTAATGGTGTAATTGCTGATTTGCTGCCTGTAAGTACAAAGATTTTCCTGTGAGCCTAAGCAGCTGCCGTCAGGATTGCGTATACCTAGGCTTGGAGCAGGGTTGTCTTTTGTCCTAGGTAATGAGCGAATGCCCCACTCTTGACGAACCCTCCTCGCCTCAGCTGGTATGCCCTGATTACCAGGTGTAGTGGTGGTAAGTTCAAGATGGTCTCCATAGCTGCCACTGGGTTCTGGGACCTTGTGGCTTTGTACGCTATTTTTTTCAGGTGAGCCCTTGGTCGAACGTCAATATCCGCAAACTCATCCTATAGTTCGAGATCGGCCCGGGTGCTAACTGTGGAGTGCAGTGACAGGTGGCCTGGGCAGCCTGGGCGGTGATGCTTCTGTATAGTTTCTTGCAGTTGCTCCTGTAGCAGCTGCTGGTGTTGTTGTGGTGGTTGTACTGACGTACTGCCATCTCAGGTTCGGCAGGGTTACTATAATCCTCACCCCCTCCCCCCACCCCCCGTGGCGACGATGCCGAAAATTATCCCCCCCCCCCCTGAAGTTGATCCTTCGTCACGGCTGTGTGAAAGAGACACCAGCTGCCTACCTATTCGTCCAGGAATTTTCTAAACGCCGCTTGACCGCTACCAGATCATCAAGTTCCCCTGGGACCCAGATGACAGCCTTGCGGAGCGTAGGAAGGCAGTCTTATCTGCACTCGAGGGAATGGTTGATCTCGCACTATATTTTTAGGATCTCGCCCGAGTACCTCCAAACCCTGGAAGGTGGGTGCTAGTGTAGCGCCTTTTAGGGCCAACAGATGCTGGTTATGGAATGGAAGGGCGAGGTATGTAGGTAGACCTTCCTATAACTTCTTGTAACAGCATGATTGGTCGAGCATTTGACCTACCACACAGTTCAGAGTGCATAATCATTACTTTCTCAAATCCAAACTGTTATAAACACCACCTTAAGATCCCTAGTAACTAGCAGATACAGATTCATACTAATTGGAATATTAAGATGCCCAATATGTTACATGTTTCGTATAATTTTTTACTTTTTGATCGAGTAGTGCTTTGAACCATGAGCTACATTGACTAGTGTGGTGGCAAATGACGCGTTCTTGTACTTACGGCCGGTATCATAGAGCATATATACTTAGTATGGTCGTTAAGGCATGTGATTGGTTGTTTTTTCAAATATGTCAATCTTTACAAAAACATCCAATCACATGCCTTAACAACATTGTTAGCTGACAACTTATGTTAAGTAACTAACGGGCGATCAAAAATGAGTTGCTGTCTAGTCGCCTTTGGAAGTTCAATTTAAGTATGATTTCCCATGTAAACAAAAATTTCAAAGGTGATTCGACAGCAACTCATTTTTGATGATCGCATTGTATATGCTTTATAATACTAGCCGTTAGAATGTTATTTTGTATTGAAATAAACAAAAAAATGCAGGGTGTCTCACTTAAAAATCGGAAATTAAGCTAAGTTTTGGGTAAACCGGAAAGAAAAATGCAAATTGTATATTTAGTAAGAAAAGGGCAACTTAGTATATGATAATTTGTATAAACTTTGGCTAGCGCTGTTGCTGGAGGGTTGTGAGCACTATTTTTGATGTTGTTGAGAGGAGGAGGCTCAATGTTTCTACAATGCAGAATCCCTCGCTGCTTTACGGATCTTCCTTTGAGAAGTAATGGGTGTGAGCTGCTGAACTTGTAATTGAGCCATCCTAGCATTCTTATATTCACTTGGTGCCAGAGTTGCCGCAATAAGTTGCAGTTTAGATTGGGGGAGAAAATGAGACAAAAATTGCGATTAAAAAATTTTTATTAAATTAAGATTAGTGAACCCTTTTTGAGTCACTTTTCAAAAAGGGCGCATTACAACGCATACACTTTAATACATCACAGACTGACAATAAACAGTTCTTACAGTAAAAATGCTCACATGGAATTGCATACAAATTGCTAGGAACATTGCATTTAACACACATTTTAGTATCGGAAACAGCACACTCATCAGATGTGAAACTAATAAATCGGGTACTACCAACAGTTCTCTTAATGGCTGAACTTAAACTATCTTCAGAACTTAAATCTACACTGGTCTCACTTCTAGAATCCTCCAGAATCTTACGCTTTTTCCCACCGCCGTTGCTCTTCCCGACAGTCCGCTGTATTCCAAAGGTCTCCTTCCGGTGAGCATTTTGCAATAAAAACATGTCAATACGATGCTTCAAAGCAGCATTAAAAATCGGCTTACGCACGTCGTTAAATCTCTGGGCAGTAAACGGATCAGAACCCGACCGTCCATAGGCCGCCTCGGTTTCGACCCATTTATCTAAGGTCGTCTGATCCACTGTATTTCCACTAGGCAACGTGACAGGCAAACTCATGACTTCGAATGTAAGAGCATCCTTGAAATCATCGGGTATCTCAAATTCGTCCCCCGGGTTGCCATTTTGCACGACCTGTGTACTTTGCACTGGTGTCAGTCCCATTAAACGATCAACTGTTTTGATGGTTTCATCAGGACAGACGTGAGAAAAGTTACCCCATACTTCTAACCGTCCCAAACACGGAACGGAACGTTCGACTCTAACGAAGTTTACCTTCAGAAAGCTGACGGTTGAGAACGAACGGCGCGCGTGCGGTTTAAAAAACGCTACTCTGTAACTGGTGTCTATATTTACTGGCAGTTTTTGTGAGTTATACAAGGTACTGTTACAAAAAATGATGCCTGTTGTATCGAAACGTTCGTACGCGATCGACGAAAAGGTCGTCTTGTATTTCGCTAAGAGTTCGACGGTGGTGAAATACTGATGGTTGAGGTTTTTCGCTAGGATAATGTAGTGGACGTTAATCGGGCATAGGAGCTCGACGTCAACGTGAACCGGCGGTCTAGTCGAAGTATCCGCCACGAAGCCCCGAGATCTGACTAGAAAGTTGTCGCTAATCAAATTGCTCACTTCGTGATCGTCTGTGCATTGCGCGTTTGTGGTGATTTTGGGCAGGAGCCGGGAGTCCAAGAAGTTGTACAGTCGAGCTTCCTGTGGGAAGAGGTTATATTTTGGTACATTGTAAACATAACCTCACCATCCTTTTTTAATTACTTCCACAGAAGGCTAGTTTTTCATGTTCATTTTTATTAATTAAGACAATCTTGGGCCATTTAAAATATGGCGATTGTCCACCGTCACAATTAATCTCGAAATTTCTTTATAAAAGTGCAATAAAGGGCCTTACTTTTGTAGCAAAGCAAATCAGCATCAATTTTAAGGTAAATGAGAATTACTAATTAGCGTGTCAGTAACCACAATTTTTTTTGTTTTATGTAAGGATGTGTTTTTTGTACCGCCCAAGCCGGTGAGACAAGACAACACTGCGCATGCGCGCCAAGATCGCGGTTTGGAGCGGCAACATTTGTATTTTCAATTTCAATTCGCTCCTTGCGTTCGAACGAACTGTGTACGGCGCTCGTTAGCGACGAAAAATAAACGAGTAAGCATTAATTTTAATTACACTAATAATCTGCCGATTATTTTGCAGACACAATGAACATTTCACTGCTGTTTGTGGGATTCTGCATAGTTTGCGCTAATTCTCTGGGTAAGTGACTTTTTAATTAGCTTACACGATTTGAATTTTTTTGCGAAGAACAAATTAAAACCCCTTTTTATCTATTTAAATGCTACTGTTGTTTCCTAAACTGAAAAGTGCGACAAAAAGAGTTATGCGGCCGAATATTTACGCGTCTTTGCGATGAAATCGGAATTTAATTTCTTTTTTCTTTAATGAAATTATAAGTGCGATATTTGCGTTTTGTCAGACAAAAAATGTTACTTTATGGCTAAAGTTACTTTTATATTGAAAGTGTTATCTGTACTACAAATTCGTCATTGGCAATGACTGTATAATGCATTCTTACTACATTACATAATAATCAAGTTTTGTTCAGTTGACTAACTCAGTTTTGATTGTCCGAGATTAGAATTAGAAACCGTTAAAATCGCCAAAATATATTCTGTGCGCCATTAGCTCAAACTTATGTTCGTTTATGGACAGAGATCTCAGTACCGAGGCTTGTAAAAATGTACATTTTTTATTTAATGAAGAACTTTCAAAAAGTTTTCGTTAACTTGTGCCTACGAACTTTTATATTTGTTGACATATTTCAACAATTTTGCCGCTTAATGTTGTAAGTTACGTCTGACTTTTATTTCGATAACAATGTCGTTGGCTTTATCTATTATTATTAACGAGCGAGTTTATAATTTTGGACTTTCTGTCCGTCCGTCCGTCTGTGTACATGATATCTCACGAACGGTTTCAAATTTTCCAGTTCTGTTTCCAGTAATAGTAGACATTGGTCAATGGACTAAGTGATTCAATATTCGGCAATACTTGTCAACCGGAAGTGAACTATATTGTGCAATTTATTTTATTTCAATAGCCATAAGTGTTGCTTATGATATCTTGCAAAATGCAAATATAATTGTCGTTTTTGATAATAGCGTGATTGCGACAACTTTATTTTATGCAGTGTGTTTTCGTAAAGAACGATGGGGTTGAAAGGGATATGGACCCTGTTAAGTTTAAGCTACAAAGATTGCATAAACGCGTCCGCAATCTATAAAAGTGATATGTTTCGCCATGTTTGGTTGGAATGTCTATTTTTAGAAATGCAAGCACCACTAGTCCACCCTTCAGGCAGACGACCCTTCAGGTAGGTAGCTGCAGTTGAATGTTGATTTTTAGTAGGCTTTTTGTGTCAGTGTTGCGCGAATAAAATTTCACCATTTTAAGTAAAATAAAGTTGAAGCAACGAATACGCATTTAATATGGTTAAATTCATACTCAAAAACGCTCGAGTACAATATGGTCCTTTGAGCCGGATTAATCGATTAATCGCTACGGTACGGAAAACATAAAGAAGTTTGGTGCAAATAGAGCTACTGGTATTTCGACGTTAGTGAATCGCTACTGTTGGTATCTTTCGGTACGGTTAAACTCATATTGCGGTTTGAAAGCGAATTTTAAAGCTGTGCAAAAGGGTACTAGTGACGGACTCTCCACACGTTTCACTAATAACTTCCACGGACATCGTTGAATTGCGGATCGGATTGATGGTAGGGTAAGTGAACTCCAATTATAACGACCATATAGTACCATACGTTTTTGCATTACTTTAATCGTTAGACGCCCTGTATATTACATATGGCGCTATCTAAAAAAGGTAAAGGAAAATTTCCTTCTTTTTTTGGGGGTTTTGGGCTGTTTTGTTCCTGAGGCTACATGCCTTTATACCTTCTTCCTTCAGAAGGTTAATAGTGAAGGGGAGGGGGTCGAAGGATTTTCAGATTCCGCTCTATTATAGAGTCCAGAATTATCTCTCAGTTCGGGGCGAGGAGGGGGGGGGTGGCACCTTGTCGACGTAACCGGAACAAAAGTCAGAAAATTTGAACAAATACGGAATCGTACAATAAACGGCTTGGTATCTATAGTAGTTACAGTTTCGTTGAAGCGCAAAAGTTGATAAAAGATTAATCACCGCGTCGATAAAGGACGAGAGCGAATGCAACGCATTTTTTGTATGAAATATATGCCGATATTATTATGTTTCTTAATTTTTCTAGAAACTTTCCGTTTTCTATATCAAATCGTGTTTAATGGAAGTTCTAACATCGACGCTGAAAAAATATTCTGCGCTCGTGTTACGCGTTATACGTGATTCATTAGAATTGGGGACAATTTGAATTTCCCGCAAATCAAAAAAATTATGAAGTTGGTACTAACTGATGATCATTTATTTAATTGCAGTGGTGTATCATCATGCATTCAGTAAATCGTTTACTTATTTATAATCTACAAATCTGCTTCTGTTTTACCACAAATTATAAACTAACACTAGACACAGTCACGTTTCTTACATATTTTAGTGCATCAACTCTAAAAATTGTTCAAAATGGAAAAAGTAATAAACCGCAAATGGCACACAACAATTAACGGCGACACTGGTTTCTTAAATGACAGTCATGACAGAAAAAAATTACTAACGAAATTCAAACTGTCAATCTAACAATGCAAAAAATACTAAAACCTTACGCGCGAAATTCAAGCGTTCATCACTTCTAAAGAATCACCCGGTAATTGAATACACGTGAGCGATAAATAATAATTAAATGTTATAAATCAATCGATTCAAGAACTGTTATCAATTCATTAATAGTAATTTAAATTTACCTACGTCACAATCGACAAAAAATGTAATGGCCTTTTGTTTAAAAACAACAGAGTGTGCCTTCAGCAAAGTAGGTAATCGCATCTTCGTCTGCTGGGGGGTATTACAATTTCCACACCCCCTCAGATACCTCGGTACTACGGTTTTGGGAAAGGAAAAGTTGTATCCACTTTTTCTGAAGAATATTCCATACCTCACATGATAGTGGGTCTAAAGCTGGATTCACATGAATACGAAATCCGACGATACGGTCATCCGAAATGCTTATGATTGGTCAATAGTTTGAAATGTCAAGCACATTTCAAATTATTGACCAATCATAAGCATTTCGGATGACCGTATCGTCGGATTTCGTATTCATGTGAATCCAGCTTTAGTTCGATGGTGCTTTCTCGAAAAATATCGTGTAAGTGCGAACAGTAAACGTTTTTTTTAGTAGAAGTGCAGTACCGGGGAGTCTGGGGGAGGGGGGGATAGTCATTTTTTACCCCAATGCAATACCTCCGTGACTAAGGTCAATTTCGAGGTCAATATTCACGCTAAGCGCTATAAGTATATGATCTCATGAGAATGGAGAGCCCTATAACGATTATTAAGCGGCAGAGCAAAGCGATAGGGGAGTCAATGGTGTCCGTCTGTCCGTGATTTGGTTCAAATTTTGCACAGTTGACCTATATGCCATATGTAATAAGCTTTATAGGTTTGTTTTTGATATTTTGACCTTAAAACGACATTTTGATATTCAGAACGAAATTTCGACTTTAAAACTTGAAATTTCGTGTTTAGATTTGCAGTGCATCGTCCTTTGGATGGCACCATTGCACCAAGGAGGCCTAGATTACGTCGAATTTATTCCCAACTCTCCTGGAAACCAACCTTCTCCACATGGCGCGATCAAGTTATCCTGATCCGTCAGCACCACCGCTGGATCTTTTTCGGTTTCCTACTGCTGTTCTTAACAATACGTTGCTCTGTTTTTCTTCTCCAAACCTAAACACGAAATTTCGAGTGTAGCGTCATAATCTTAATAAGTTAAAATGATCGTCGTACTATTTGGCGATATCTCCTTTCGAATTAAATTCCGTAGGCAGCGCGAAACCTCCTCGCTTCCCTATATACTATAAATAAAAATCGAAATCGGCCTTTTCGATTTTGGAGATTTTCTCTCTACGTGCGTATAAAGCGTCTTTAGTAGCGGCGCGGATAAGAGTCTTGTCAGCTTACGGAGGTGACATAAGGTTACAATTTGCTTTTCCCCCATTTCGAAATATACACACACGCATTTCGTTTTACGACGTGTATTTTCTAGTTTATTCCCCCGATTGACGACGGTCGTCGCGACGCTAACCGTGCCGGATCGGAAGGAAATTATTTAGCAGACCCACAATTCAAATAAAAGCGTTCACGCCTTAACGACTCGTTATGGCCACGATTGAGTTAATTGTAATTGAAGGTGTGTTAACTTTGAACTAATTAAGGGAGACGACGCCGCTCGTCGCGGTCATTATAAATTCTGAGGTAGCGCTTGTTTTCAGACTTTTAAGGAAGATTTAGTGCGAGCAAATACGTTTATTAATTGTGGAGTTTTGTTTGGCTCACTAATTATGTTAAATCGATTTCGTCCTCCAAACGTGCAAGATTGTGGGGACCAAATTGATATTCGAAAACACTTGGTCCGTCGGATTTAAATGTGCTTCTCTCAAATAAGTTAGTCTGCAAGAGTTAGGTGCAAAGTTTATCTGTTTCCAATAGCAAATCTACATACACCGTTCCCTCCATTCTTTAAGTAAATCCTTCGCGCACCCCCATCACTTTTCTCGGGGATTTTCGAATTTGCCCGAAATATAAATTATTTAAAAGCCCAAGGTAAAAAGCTGTCGTAAGTGCGATATAATAAAGCATTGCGGTCGAGTGCGCTCACTTTAATTCCACTCCAACTTCCGCTCCATCCCCCTTAATATTTATTAAGCCGCAAGCAGAAGGCACGCGTGATACACACATACAACAGAATGGCGTACCTGGGTACTTTACGATGAGGTTTAAATTTTAATGGAAGACAGTTAAGATGTTACACTCAGGGCGAACTTACCGAATTTAATATTTGATAGGCTTTGCGAACTTCACGTGCGACCATTTGTGTTCGGTTTCTTGTCTTTTGGAAGTTAACATCTTAACTCTAAAACTCCCTTTATCACTCATTGCATTAATAGGAAATAATGCACAAGCTATAAATTTACCCCTAATATATGTGAAGTTTGCAGCTTTCTTTACAGAAGCTATGCATAATTTTTTGATTGTAAACTCGATTGTAAATTAACCTACCCCTCTCTGCTGAATGTCTCTTTAAAGAAGTGTTGGTATAATGGAA